TCTCCAGCTTGGCATAAAGACCATGCTTTTGAAGGCAGTGGAGTACCTCTTTTACATGTTTGCAGTGCAACTCCACATCCTGTGAATAAATTAGGATGTCATTGAGGTATACCATGATGCAGACATTGAGCATGTCTGCAAAGATGCTATTAATGAATCACTGGAAAGCTGCAGGTGCATTAGTCAGACCAAATGGCATTATCTGCCACTCGTAAGAACCATAACAAGTGCAGAAAGCTGTTTTCCATTCATCTCTGTCTGTGATGTGGACTAGATGATAGGCATGGTGGAGGTCAATCTTGGTGCAGACTTTAGTGTAGCTTGGGGAGTTGAGTAGGTCAGAGATGAGTGGCAGTGGATAGCAATCTTTTTTCATGATTTCATTGAGTCCTTGATAGTCCACACAGAGGCAGAGTGGACCATCCTTCTTCTTTATGAAGAGGACAGGGGCACTGTGAGTGGAGGTGGACTGCTTGATGAAACCATAGCCAAGGTGCTCATCAATGAAGGTGTGGAGAGCTTCAAGCTCTGGCAGAGACAGAGAGTAGATCATGCCAATGGGCAGAGAAGCTCCTTCTTTGAGGTCAATCTTGAGATTGAATGAGCAGTGTGGTGGAAGTTCAGTAGCCTTGTCTTTACTAAAGATGTCAGCAAACTTGTGATACTCAGGAGGGACTGAGGAGAGGTCAGGAGGTGGAGAAGAAGTGGAGGATGCATGAAGCTTCACCTCATCAGTGGAGAGCTGTAAGCGGAACTGTCTAGAGCCAGGGAGAGCACAGGCTCTGACATACACAGCAGCATTGATGAGTGAGACAAGCAGAGTGGAGTGCAGTGAGTCTGTCAGAGGTGCAGACAGAACTGCAGACTGAGTGGGGGGTGTTGGATCCAGAGCAGAGGTTGCAGTGGAAGGTGATGAAGGTGCCTGGGGTGTCAGCATTTCCTGTAATGATGGTTTGAACAATATACTGCCCAGTACCCAGTCAATCAACAGATTGAAGTGGGTGAGCCAGTTGTGTCCTAATACCAGCAAACATGAAGAATCCAACAGAGTAACATAAAACAAAACAGAGTTGACATCGCCAGAAGGAAAGCAGAGGGAAAGATCTACTTCTTGGGAAATGACAGCATTTGTACTACCATCAAACAAGCAGAGTGGAATTGGCAGAGAAATGGAGGAAACAGGAATAGCATATTTTTTGATAATGGATGGGTCTACAGAACAATGAGAAGAGCCAGAGTCAATCAATGCAGAAACAGTATCAACAGAGTAATCAAGAAGAGTTACAGATGGAAGTAAAGAATTGGGACTAGAGAGAGTGGACATGTTGAGTCAGATGTCTGGTTGTGCACAGTTGGGATCAACACTTCCTCCAGGCTGTGCAAGCTCCCTGGAGGAGCAGACTAATTTTTTTGGCTCTGCCTTCTCTGTGGGTGGAGGAGGCAGAGTTCCAGCTGTAGCTGCATGGGCTTTGGCTGTGTGAGAGGTAGACTTGGGACAGTCCTTGGCAGAGTGGCCAGCCTTGCCACAGAAGAGGCAGAGGTTGTTTTTCATCCTGCACTGTCATTCAGCAGAGGTGAGTTTGCCATCCTTGCTCAGAAGATGGGCAATATCAGACTTGGACACATCAGACCTGGGTGGATCTTTCTGTTTGCCCTTGCCTTTGGTGTCAGACTTTGGAGTGGAAGCAGAGGATGATGATTTAGACTTGTTGTCAGTGGTGGGCTTGGTGGTGTGTGAGATCTCTGCTTTACACTCCCAGTAGTGTGCATCAATGGTCTGAGTGAGTTTGCAGAGTTGTGCAAGGATAGAAGGTTTTCCTACATGAGCAATCTCATCCTTGATGCAGCATTGTACAAGGAACTTGCAGAGTTTCTTAGGGTCAGAGCCATTGAAAGTGTCAGGCTCACAGACTTTGGTTTTCAGAGTGGAGTCCCCAGTGCACAAACCAGACAGCACAAGCACATGGACAGCCCTAGCAAGAGCTACAAGGGGATCCTCTGGCAGCTCAGCTGGGTCTTCAGGGATATCCCCATCACTGCTGCCCCCACCATCAGGATCACCATCAGGGTCATCAAGGTCAGGTCCATCATCTTGGTTATGAGGAGATGGAGTATGGAAAGTGGTTGGGTGGAGGTTGGAGTGACCAGCTTGCAAAGCACTTTTGCCTTCAGTGCAAGAGTGGCATTGAGTGGAGAATGATTGGAACTGTTCAATGATGGAAGGGAGTTGACATGGATTAGTGAGTGCAACAGTGAGGTTCTCAGTGACCTCTCTCTGGGATTGAGCTTGAGTTCTCATAATGGTGTAAGTTTTTTGGAAGACAGAAGACAAGATCATACAAGTGCAAGTACAAATATACTGTCAAGTCTGGGCCTACTCCAACCAATTCCAATGCTGGACAAGGTCTGGGGAGAGGTTCAGAAGCAAGTCCAACAGAAAGAGCAGGACTCTGACTGGCAGAGTGTTGGCAAGAATGAAGTCTGCTGAAGGTAAGGGTGGAGCAAAGTGAGGGTGTCAGGTTTAGCTCATGCACTACCCCCTTGCATGATCTCAGCCCTCATATTTCAGAGGCAGAGTACAGATGGATGGTTGGGGGTAACTCTGACAGGCAGAAGACAGAGACAGAAGGAGTAGGAACTAAGTCAATATTCATACTGAGGAACAGTGGAGTATGATACATGCTTTTATACTACTACAGAGGTACAGTAACTGGAATTGGAACTGACATACAGAGACTTGTAAAATTTCAAGTAAAATTTCCTAGACAATGAATGAAGGGTAGACAGAGGACATATGAATGGGTAACACAGAACATCCCAAAAAGGAAACAGCCCAGGTGTTGGACCATGCAGTGCATGCACTGCCAAGTACCTGACTGTGTGCTGTCAGGGAGGAGTCCAAAGGTAGCCACATGACCCCTCAGAGGACAGTCTGTTCGGTCCAGTAGCAGAGCAACACAAGTCCAACAGCAGTCAGAGTGGAGATGGTTTGTAACCAACAGAAGTTGGGCAGAGTTGGTGCAGAGCAAGTGAATGACTGGTGGAAGAGGGTGCAGAGTGAGTAAGGACCTAGAGTGAATGCACAGTTATGACACAGACAGTGAGACTGTGAAATTGAAGACTGTGAATGAAAGACTGTGACAAGCCCTTGTTGAGGCACTCCCAGACGACCTCCAGATGCCATTACTCACTCCCTTTACTGCTCCATTTGTTCTGCCCAACCCAAATCCACTCTTTCACCTCTTTTCACTGATCCAAGCACAGAGTCCCTCTGGTTCAAACTAGACTGATATCTATCTACCCCCTAGGAGTCCCCTGCACTCCTCAGCATCACTATACACCTAACCTACAATGCTCATGATGTGATCATGAAAGCATGAGTAAAGCAGATGATTGGTGCTAATAAAAAGTACCATGACAGCCCATTTATCAAAGGGGACCTAGTATACATGTCTACAAAGAATATTAGCCTCCCAAAGGGAACATCTTGGAAGCTCATCCTGAAATTCATGGGACCCTACTGGATAGTAGAGGACTTTGGCAATTACTTGTACTGGATCAAGTTCCCCATGAAGCTGAAGCAACAAGGTGTACACAATGTGTTCCACTCATCATTACTAAGAGTCCACATCCCAAATGATGATAGGAAGTTTCCTGGAAGATGAGATGATCAGATCCCAGAATTTGGCAGGAACAACCATGAGTGGGCTGTGGACTGTATAATCCAGCATCATGGAAGCCACTCCAATGTGATGTTCAAGGTATGTTGGACAGCTGGTGACCAGATGTGGCTACCATATGAGGATGTCACACATCTGAAGGCATTAGCCAATTATCTTGAGGCCATTGGGGATGAAGGAATTGAGAAATCAAGGGACTTGGGTGACAGGGAATTGTCAGATAATGATCCCCAGGTGTTCATAGGACACTTGGCACCACAGGTGTGTGGAAGCCATAAATACTGCCCACATCCCAGCCCAAGATGCCAGGCCCACACTCCACATACAGGTGACCTCTATTGCAGCCTTGGTATCGCCATCCACCAACTATTCACTTGGTCTGCAACCCCTCACCATGCTACATCCCACATCCTGCCCCTCCATGCTGCATGACACAGATTGAATTGACACCAATCTCCTCACATACATCAAACCTGTCCCAGTCAGCATCAGCCAAGAGGTCCACCTCAAAGATGAACACATGGTAAAATGTCTGCTTACCCTACACATCCCTTAAACCATTGCTGCTTGTATCACTGACTGTGAACTAGAGGACAGGATCAACACTGTGCTGACCAAAATCAACCTCTTGGTTGTAACAGTCATACCACACATCCCCACCCAACTTGACCATCTTCTTGGTGGACATTCAATAACAGGCCTAATCCACCCAACAGGAGCATTGACCCAGTTCAAAACACCATCACCAAAACTACAGTTGTTGTCACTCAATGCTCAATCTTCATCTCCATGGGCTAAGGTTAACTCTCCATCAGCCCCATACCATGACAAATATATCTAACATTACTGTGGCAACTTCTTCCAAGTTCACACTTTTGATGAGAATGGTGAGGAAGGGGAATGGGTGGTTATCCATAGAGAGCAGGTTAGGGCACTCTTTGATCATGACCATGCATTACATCATCAGCATGATACCATCCTGGAAACTCCCTCAGGGTATCATACCTTCCAAGAAGTGTTCAGGTGAATGGCTCTGACAGGAGTGTGCTTTGCATATTACAATGTTGATGATGATGGAGAATTGGAGGTCATTGCACTGGGCCCTTCACCTACCAAGTACGAGGTGCTGGGTGAAGATGCTGACCTGTGAAGCCATGAAGAGATAGATGGGGGGATGGTACTCAACAGCTCACAGGCTGATACACTCAATGTTCTGCTCTGGGAAAATGCTGAGCATCTGAAGAGGCAGAAACAGAAGTCTCACCAGGGATATATTGACTGTTGCAAGCAGAGGGGGGACTGTCATCATGGGAAGAGTCCTTACAGTGAACCATCATACACCTGACACTGCCCCAATGGGTCCTGATCCAAGGGATCTAAGAGGAAGTCAGGTGGACATGACCTCTATGGCAAACCCAGCATTTATACTCACCACAAACCCAAGTCTTCCATCACTGGCCCAAGCAATATCACAGGAGATCAATCTATGGCTGAGGACGACCTGGATGCAGAAGGGGAAGATGAGGAAGGGGTGGTAGGAGGTGAGGATGTTTCAGCAAGTCCTGTGCAACACACCTTGGGGTTGGCCAGACAGGCTTTGGAGATGGCCTCAGGAAAATCTGCTAAGAAAGTCATCTAAAAGCATCACAACTCACCACAAACATCTGGAGAGGGTACTTTGTACCCTGGAGGGGGAAATGTGAGGATTTCAGCCTGATGTCTGTTGGGCATTCTCAGGAGTTGCTGGTTATTTGACAGATCCAATAAGTTTCTCATTTGTTCTTGCTGTTCTTACTTATCCCATTCATCTACATTGACATATTCATGCCTATATGCCTATCCTCTACAGTATAAAAGGGCCTGTAAAATGTAGAGTATGGGGACTTCTTTTCCCTACATCAATACAGACTGCAACATCTGGATAACTTATAGCTTGCTTAAGAAAGTTCTGCTGTGCCTATGTTGCAAGTCTAAGTACTTCGCATTGAGTCACATGGTGGTTCCATTGATGAAACACCTTGTGGGAACTGTATCCACAGGTGTTAGCACTCCAACCACAAGATTGCATTATTTGACTGGCATGAAAATCAAATGGGAATAGCAAGGTATAGCACTTTGACAAAGCTGAGTCAGCCATGGAGATACCCATTTTCTACATGAGACCATTCCCATCCATGGCATGGTATGACTATGTGTAATACATCACTACAGAGAGCTCCAATTTTCACTGGGGGCACCAATGGCTGACTGTATGCACCATGTGGTGGGAGCATCCTGATTCCAAAGGTCCAACACACAGAGCCAACTATGAAGTGGAAGTGCTAGTATCCTGAGGTACACAGTTGTAAATAATGATTTGCAATGAGAAAGATGATAAAAAATGATTTATGTAAGAATACAATATCCATGTCACCTCTCCATGCTTGGCAATCCATCATAACAAAGAGCATACCAGAGAGGCCAGTCCACCACCACCTCCTGAGTTTGAACCTCCCCTAAGAGCTGAGAAAATGCCAATAAAGATGAGAAACACCATGATAGAAGTAATGTAACTTAGTTCCTGATAGCTTGTACCCTGCAGTGCAGAGTATCCTTCACCCAAAAATTGTCAACCAAATCCCCAACTGGATGCTGAAAGTTCAGATAGCAGAACTGTTGTATATTCTGTCTTTCATATTATACTTCCATCTGCATCCCACTTAGTATTATGGTATGCATTTAGCCATATTACATAATCACATTCATTTTTGTACTCGAGTAGCATACTCACACCTCAGTTGGCTACTTAACCCAACTGAGGTGAGCACTTTCTACATCCTGTCTTTACACTCAGCTAATAGCCCTGTAGTATATATTCTACAAGAACATATTGGCAACACACTGTAACAATACAGGTGAGCCACCTATTATTGTGCAGTCATTCAAACATCAAGGCAGTTACAGCACAAAATCAAACACATACCAAGGGTTTCCAATCATTGCTGCTTGGTGCAGCAGCTGTGCACTGCCATGAGTCTTCAGGGCCAGCTTCTTCACTGCCATTAAATGCTGTTCCAGACAGAGTAGTTGGAAAACTATGGGTACTATGGAGCAGTTCTTCCTTGAGAGATATGTATGTAGCTGGGCTACCTTGAGACATGTCAGAGATATCATCTCTGCTGATCTGTTCAAGGTGTCTTTTGACAGACTCCATGGCTTCTTGCATATCACACAAGGCAACCCAGATAGGGCCAATGTCATGAGTATGGTCCAACAGTGTCATGAACCCTTGAGAGAGACTATGTATCCCTGCCAAAGTCTGCAAGAAGAACACCATATGTTTGTCTTGAGTGGCCCAGATTCCATCAGCTTTCTCCTCTAAAATGGTCAGCTGTTCATCCAGTGAGAGCTGGGATGACTGTAGGCTGCTTGGCCAGGTTACAGCAAAGTTCAGATGGCAAAGGTGCAGGAGGGAACAAAGTAGATGATGGCCAGGAAGGGGAGAAGAACTGAACTGAATAGCTGGAGGCCCATCCCAAAGAAGTTCCAGCAGGCCCAACTCAGAGAAAGAGGAAATGCAGTGGCAGTACCCAGCAAAGCAGATAGGTGAGGAAGGGGGAAAATGAGAAGTGTGCTGAGAGAAGATCTGGCAGAACCAGGAAGCAGACACAGAGGACTTGGCCTGTAAATACATAAAAATATCTATGCAGATTATCACTGAGTCAGAAAAGAGTGATCCAAATGATTATTGCACCAAGTTGTGGCTGGGTTAGGGTTGGTTGATGGGCTGGCACAGGTTGAGGCTAGGTGGGCCAACACCATTTCCACAGGGCTCCCTCATCATGAGGTGAGGTTAGTGGTCAGCTGACACCACTTACCAGGAGCCCAGTCATGGTTAGGTGAGGTCAACTGATACCACTTCCAGGCAGCTCCCTCATGGTTAGGTGAGGTTGGCTGAAACCACTTCCAGGGGGCTGGCACATGCTGAGGCTAGGTCAGCTGAAACCACTTTCAGGGAGCTTATTCATGATTAGGCTAGGTTGGCTAAAACCACTTGCAGGGGCTGGTACATACTGAGGTTAGGCTGGCTGACACCACTTCCAGGGAGCTCACTCATAGTTAGGCTAGGTTGGCCAACACCACTTCCAGGCAGCTCCCTCATGGTTAGGTGAGGTTGGCCAAAACAACTTCCAGGAGACTGGCACATGCTGAGTCTAGGTCAGCCAACACCACTTCCAGGGGAATGGCACATGCTGAGGCTAGGTCAGCCAACACCACTTCCAGGGAGCTCACTCATGGTTAGGTGAGGTCAACCAAAACCACTTGCAGGGGGCAGCACATGCTGAGACTAGGCTGGCTGAAACCACTTCCAGGTAGCTCACTCATGGTCAGGTGAGGTCAGCCCACACCACTTCCAGGCAGCTCCCTCATGGATAGGTGAGGTTGGCCAATACCACTTTCATGAGGAGGGCCCATGCTTAGGCATTGTTGGCCAATACCACTTCCAGGGGGCAGGCACATGCTTAGGGACAGTTGGCCAATACCACTTTCAGGTGGCTACCAGATGCCTAGACTGGGTAAGCTGACACCACTACCAGGGAGCTGGCCCTTGGGCAGGCTGGGTAGGCTGACCCCATCTCCAATGGCACTGGGCTGGTCCAGCCAACACCACATGTAGGGCAGCCAGCTGATGTGGTTAGGCCCACTTTCAGGTGCAAATGTACATTCAGATGTCCTGGTTTCAGAACTAGATGTGACTGAAGTGTCTGGAATGGTACCAGGGTGAGGCTCATCATCTTGGGTTAGCTGTGGAGGCTGTGGAACCTCTAGTCTCAAGTGGAGATTGTGATGCCAACCCCAAGCAGCAGGGACACCTAGCTGAAGCTGTCCTCACCTACAAGCTCTGTCCAGCCCTCTGGGTTGTCTCACCACCCCAATCAGGCCTGTGCCCCATGGAGACCAACTTTGAGAACCCTCAAGGCATCTAGTACACCAACACTTGGCTACAAGCAGACAATATCCTCCAAGGAGGCTTCCCTTCCATGTGCTTGTACCATACAATTCATGTACATCACTCCTGGCACTGCCTGGCTCCATCTATATCCCTCCTCTTCCTGTTCCTTGCTTCAATCATTCTGAGCCTGAGTTGGCTTTACAAAGGGAGGGTGTGTTAGGTACATGAGCCCCTGTCAGGTGCTTATGTCATACTGAGGCTACTACAACCTCTTGCTTTGCATATCACATGTCTGCCCACCACTGAAGTGTATATAAGGTAGTTGTCTTGCAGAAACCATGAACATCACATGGATGTGACTTGGTGTGACACAAGCATCAGAGCAACATGCCACACTGTGCCAAGTGTGAAGTATCAGAGTTGTAAACAGGTACTTATTAGCATTGCACTAGGGGTAAGGGAGCAACAGTATCAGGATACCTATAATCTGAGTGTATAAAATGAATGGAGAGTAAATATTAAGCCTTATCAAGACCTGTTGTCAGTGTCTCAGGCAGGACATGATGGCCATGGTATTCCTTGAATGCCCAGGCTGCCTGTGTGCCATTAAGGCTGGTCCTGTAGGGCCATCAACAAAGTGTCCATGATTGTCATGCAATGGCACCTTGGCACTTCATCTCAGCTACTGCATGATTTCAATGGAGCAGTTGGCACATTTTCAGTGCTTCCAAGACTCAAAAATATTCAAAATCAATTCTCAAAAGCAACATGCTTTACATTCTACTCAATACAAACAGTATATACTAGTTCATTCCAAACTTCATATTGACTACTTTCCCATTTCATGAACTTGTTAGATTGTTTTTCAATTTTTTGGCCTTGTCATGCAAATGTAACATTTTGGCATGTGATGTTTGTGGTTTCCACAAGATGACTACCTTAGCTTGTGTAGGTTTCACATGTAAACTTACTCTTTTCTCCTTCACTATGAATACCACACTCTGGTCATGTTCACTGGTGATACTGAAAGAGTCCTACAACCTTACACTTCACCTTGTGCAAATTCTCAGACCAGTCACTTTCCTATGCTACTAGACTTGTTCCCACACTCCCAGCCTTGACTCCAATCCCCCAGACTTGGGGCCTAATCACTTGAAGATGAACCCATTCTTAACACCTTCCCAGATCAGGACAGAGAGTTCCAGCTGGAAACAGATGCCTCACTATGCACACATGACTGAGATCTTGTATAGATTTCCTTGAACACTATCTCCTCAGTATGAATATTAACTAAGTTTCTGACAGTGTCCCATGTCTATCTGGAAGGTCCCACTAACCCCATGGAATGTCCCATTCACTACTTGGCATACACTAGCTACTGCTATGGCAGAGGGCTAAACACATCCATGTGATCTAGCCTTGGTAGGGTGACTTCAAACCTTACAAGCATAGAATGTCAGTTGCCTGAGACAGCTGCACCAACTCCATCAGCCCCTCTAAGCAACCTCCCAATGCTCCCTCTCACCCTCCACACACCCCATATGCCAACCACAATACCCATGTCCAAGGCCCCCATCCCCAAAATAGTAAACATATATCTGGGTGCAAAAACCTTCCACACCATTAAATGTCGCCGCAGCCCCCCAGCAAACACTGCACTCCCCAGCAATAGTATGTTGAAGTAAGTTGCCAGACCTAGGCATGATCTCAGGACTGGCAGTACCACATTTTTCTGATGGTTAACAGGTAGAGCAGGAGAAGAAGGAGGGAGAGGTGGGAGATTCCACACCACCAGAAGCGGGGCCGCAGTACCAGCGAGGAAATAAGGACCAAGAGTATTCAAGATCACCGTAATCTGGGAATATGGAAACCAGACACTAGAAACCAGCACGAATGCAGTTTTCCATTGCAGAGAAGGGATGGTGGGTTGGTGTCCTGTCCCAGTAGAAGGCATGTGTAGCCAACAATGCGAGGGGGACGATCTCCGAAAATTGGGCTTCCCTCTTGTACGTGAGCGCGACGGAAGGCGTGCCAACAGCGGACACAAACCCTTTAGACAACGCCTCGTTCAATCCACGGACATCTCGAACACTGTCAACGACCTCCAAATAAGCAAGTAGCGCCACGGTGAATAGGCCGAGCACGACCTGTCCAGTGAGTTGCATGCAGAGCCATACAACACTCAGGAAGATCGACCATAATATGATATAGGGCGAACCGAAGGCGTTAGCAAATCCCAAGACAGTGACTGTGACTTGTGCGTCCGAATCCGGGTTCTCAGAATAAGAGGGTTTAAACCTGACGTCAGGAGGTGCTTCGTTGGCCTCTGGTGCAATGCTCGCAACCATCTTCGTCGGCCACTCACTTCTCTGAATATCCAAACACACCGGGGTGACATTCCAAAGCACGACGCCTCCAAAAATCATAAGCACCACCGTCGCCCTCGCCACCACCGTTCTCCCATTCCTGAGCCACACATTCCCTGCATCTCCAACCCATTCCATCGAATGAATCCACTCAACAATCCAAAACGTTGTTCCGGCGAGCAACGCCGCCGTTATCGTCCACGGCAAAAACACACCTGCGATCCCGTTATCGGATTTGGAAATCGCCAACACGCGACGTATGATACGGGGTATCGACACTGCCATAACGGGTGCGAGAACCAACGCAAGGGCAGGGGGAGCAGAAGAAGTCGAGGACGCGTAAAATGTGACAACACAGTAGGGATATTGTTCTTCTCTGCAAACAGTACTTAACATCATGAGACGAACGCATATAGCAAATAGTGTGGAAAACCCGAGGATGCGGTCGCGAAGGCGCGAAGTGGGAGCTGTGAATCCAATAAGAACGCTCGGTGCCAAGGACGAGAGACACAAGAACGGGACAATATGATCTTCCCAGATTGTAAAGGAGTTGGACGCGAAGCATAGAGTGTGGAGGGTGAGGAGGATCGGCGTGGACTTCAGCATTTCAAAAGTGAGTCGTGGCTTGCAGGTAAGAACAAGCTGTCACTGATGAGGCGAGCGCACCGCCGAAGAGTATGAGATGGTCGGCGTGAACCCCGTCCAGATACTTCCGAACAAGTAGATGCGCGAGACCGCCGACGATCGAACCCAGGACACCGACCTTGAAAGCGCTGAGCAAGTTCTTTTCTAGTCTTTGTGCTCGATCCTCTCCTGAGCTCCCAAGAATGATATATATTGCGTAGGAAGCGACGATACTTGTGAATATCACTACGAGGCCTGCACCCATGAGCGTTAAGCTGAATTGTGCCCAGAGTGAACGACACATCGATAGCGCGAGGCGATTAAATGCAAATAGGGTGGAGACTCGACTCTCGGGTGGCGCGTCGCCTGCTTCCAACCAAGCATCAACCAAGGTGGACCAGACACTATCCAGTTCGCTACCAGATTCGCTTGCTCGATAGACGTCCAAGTATCGTTTAACCTGGTGTACATTCATCTCCAGGGCTTCTCCCACGCTCGAGTCCCCTCGGTCGAATAGTTCGGGGATTATGCTGCCGAGGTTATTAAACGGAATAGGAAGACCGAGGAGGAGCGAAATTGTTGGGACGAGATCGATTTGTTGGATGAAACGATGGGGGACGCTTTCCCCTGGAAATGTTGTTTTAGGTAGAATTTCAGGTGGTGCGGTCACAAAAGACGACGAAAGAGGTGCGCCCTTGCTGTATATCCAAACCGCGGAAGAAGTCTCGAGGATGCTGTCGCCACCGTGATTACCCGTATGATCCATGCCGTGATCACCAAGTAAAACCAATAGCGTATCTTCGTCGATGATACGGACGAGTTCACCCAAGAATGCATTCATTTGTTCGAGCTTGGCTTTCATGGCGGGGTGGTCGGGTCCGACGCGATGTCCTACGTGGTCGACCCCAAGACCATGACCGATAGCAAGTGACCATGGTTCTGAGCTCTGCTGTATGATGGGGGGTAAATGGGAGATGACACCTGAGTCGACTGTGTGGAGGTCTTCGACGTCGAACGAGTCAAACGGGTACGAGAGGTTGTGGTCAAGAAAACTCGGAAAGAGTGCAAGCCAAGTATTATCGCCCACAAATGCAACCTAATCGGTGTACACGCAGTGCATAAAATGAATATTAACGAAGTGATTACGAATGGGATATTCTATGAACTGACCTTGCGTCCTGAGATGCCTAGTTGGTGAAGCAGAGAGTCCTCATGTATGACCGATCCTGAAAAGCTTTCCCCGATATCAACAATGGTGGGTAGAGAGCCTGTGGTAAGACCTTTGATGCGTTGGAGCGTCGTCGTGGGTGGGTCTGCATATGCATTGAAGATGAAGGAATGGTGCGGATGCGCTGCAGTGAGTTCTCGAGGGAGGGTAAGGATATTGTGGTGGTTCGGCGAGGGAGGGTCCGGTGGGTGGGCTGACACGAAATCAAATCGTAGGGCGTCGATGACAAGAAGGACAGCGCGTTTATGCGTCGCGGACCGGTTCCATTGTGCTTGCTCTTCTTGAGATTTGTTGGGAAGTGCCAGTCGACTGAGAAGAAATCCTCTTGAGAAAAGGTAGATGCCAGTAATGTGGACGAAAACGAGCCAGCAAAGTAGCCGTACCACAATCATCGAACGTGGTCTGGAAAGAAAGTTTATATGTGATCAACGCCAATGATCGACACTCGTAAATACGCGAATTCCCTGCGAGTCTGGGATACACCTTGCGTTTACCAACCAACTAATCCATTGGCTCATTTCATCGATGTAAATAAAAAATAAAAAAGCAAGCAGATGGCTGTCGTACATAGTAAAATGTCTAGCTTAGTTGAGCTTTACCTGCGCCTAGCAGTGGGTATTACATAAGCGAGTAACGGATTCGGCCAGCTTATCTCGTTCCCTGCCTCCTAGTTCCCTCCACATCGCCAGGTCTTCGATAAACTCAATCCAGCCGCCGCTCAACAACACAAGTTCTTCGGACATAACCCTGGTAATTTATTTTCCTTGCCGCTCTCCGAGGCGGGCTCACGATGTCATCCTACGCAGGGCGCCCCACCCCCTCACGAGGATGTTCGTTAGGCGTGATCGCTCCCAGTAGTAATTTACTTACGTGCACTGGTATGTCTCGGTCTCTAAAACTGCCTTGGTTAGAACGAAAACTCTGCATCTGATATTCTTTGATCACCACTTCTTTCCTGTGACCAAGATAAATGTCTAATTTGACTTCTGATCTTCCGTTCAGGTAGAGCCCATAGCATTGCTGCACTCAGAAATGTCCATGTCCACAACTGACACTTGTTGTTTATGGCAGGTTCCAAGACTTAGTGCTTCCGATTCCGCCCAGTATAATAATTTGTGGTGCACCCGGCTTCTGTGATCTCAGGAACCAGTCGGGACAACGAACCCCCGATGCGCACCGTTGACAACCCTATACCAACTGGCCGGAGTTCTAAAGCAGCGCGGTGCAGCGCGATTCGCCCCTTCCACCGCGTTGCTTTAGAACTCTATCCATCAAAATATATGATCCCTGATTTGGAGGTGGTTGTCATCAACCAAGTTGATTTTCTACTACAAGGACGACTGGATAGGTTAGGAGAGATGTTGAACTTGGTAGACGTCGTCACCCCATGCTAGCATCGGAGCTGTGTTCTTTGATGCTGGGCCGGTCATCTCATAGAAACTGATAATCATCAATTGACAAGAGGTGACTTCCCAAAGACGTTCTGATCGTCGAGACATGCCCAGCTGCTCTGTGTGCGATGTCACTATTGGTTTACTTCAGGACAAGGTCAGCCTAGTTGACACTTGATTCGTAGCGAGCGCACGATTTATTACGTCGTTCTCTCAGAATACAGCACGTTCAACTTCTTGTCATTCATTCCCCACGCATGCTCGTGCCATGTTCAGAGCGGTAGGTTTCCATGACCGCAATGATACGCTTTGCTTTTTTCTTATACCCTTCGTTTCCTAACATACGATGGGCTCGCAATGACATCCATGTGATAAAGCAAATCTCGCGGTCACATCTACCAAGCTAGTCACTATCAGAACTATCGTCCTCATCACCATCATCAGTTAAGCTATCATCACTATCCTCCTCCGCCACTGGCACCTTCTTCACTGGCCCCCCCCGCATGGCTGCCATTTGACCAGCCAGTGTGTCCTCCTCCGGATCAGAGATTTCGTCCTCCAAGTGCTGTTCCTCAGCATTCAGCGCAGAGACGTCATCAATCTTAAGCTAACGGCCAGTCAACCAACTTTGGCGGACTCTCATTTGTGTAGACACCTACCACAATATCCCTACAGGATTCTCCACCGATGAACGTGTCGCTCACGAAGTACACTTTCCAGGTGAATAGGCCCACGTTAGGGGGCGCCTGAAATTGAAGTTTGTAGCAGCGATAGTTGCGTTCCTTCGAGGGGTCCGACAGAGGAACATCCATTATTTTCAAGGGCGGCACCACAATCCTGTTGGATTTGTCATCTGCGAGGATAAGCCACCAGCCAGGTTTGCGCAGCTGAGTGAAAATCAGACGGAATGTTGACAAAGCATTTGTGAATACAACATACCCCAGGCCAATAAGGAGCGTGCGCGACTCCCGTGTCTCCAACCTCAATTTCCTCCGCATCCCGCCGACTGTGCAAAAATTTCTCATCGATCTCATTGTTACTGGGCGAATCCTCAGGTTCCGCAACTTCGCTCTTTGTGCCATCGATGGGCAATGTGGATAAATCCTTTAATCGGAGTTTCACCAACAAAAACACAATCGAGGAGGGAGTTACAACGCGTTCACCGATGACTAGGGCTAAGATGAAGTCCTGATCAACACGAACTGATGAAAACGTACCTTTGAAGCGCATGTCGACAATCTCCAGAGAGCCCAAGCCTGTGAAGGCCTTCTGCGCTTCCTCGGCACGTTCATCGCCACTTTCTCGTAGCTGTCGCACGACATCAGAGAGATCGTCCACTTCGTCGGCAGGAGCATCAGGCGCAAAACCGGGGAGCTGTGCTTGTAGACTACGTCTTCCTGGAACGATAGCCTGGGCGATGTAAGCGTGTAATCGCATGACAGCAAGCGTCGGAGACAACCAGCTTCGCGCCGACGCAATACTAAGGTAGGCATTTAACAGTAGAGGGGTTTGAAGTAACAAAGATTTCTGCTCTGTTGGCCAAGTGAGTCCAGGGTATCCGCGAGTGTTCCATTGTTACACGACATACCTTCCAACAGCGCCTTGGAGCCAAGTTCTAATCGCAGAAAATGGGCATAGAGTAACACGAGAGCCCTGGTAGATGCTTCATCCGCCGGTGAACTCTTCAACTCAGACCAATCCTTCCCCAGTCGCTTTTCTATCTCCCCCTCTACCTTGCGCAGATCACCACCCACCTTGGTGACTCTCTCATGCTGGAATGCGTTCACGAATACCTTGCCAACTTCAGTTATCCCACTCGTCTCCGCTAGTCCTTTCCAAAATCCCTCTGCAGTTTTCGCGCTCACGCCCTCCTTAGTGCGACCTCTGTTCCCGAACCACCATTTCCCCACCATTCCCGGCAGGACGCCACCAACCAGTATTCCATAGATCCCAAGAACCCAGACGTTGTTCTTACCCTCCACGATCCAAGAAGGAATTGCAATGCCCATGGACAATTCTTGCCTGCCATCAGGGTGACCGTATAATTCATAATTACGACGAATGGTCTCATCGGTGAGCCTTTGTATGCATCTGTTAGTTGAAGTGTAGCGCCAAACACGACGGCTCGAGCACGTACGCCTTGTAGGCCTTTGTAATATCTACGAATCGCTTCTCTATCTCATCGATCGTCTGATTCAAGGTCGCTTTCACTTTGTCGGGGTGGCTGATGCAAGTCGTGAGTTGCTATGCGAAGAAGTAGGGACACGAGACATACTAGAGTTTTGAAAGCTTCTTAAAGTGTGATTTGATCTCCTTCTCTGAAGTTCCCTGCAGTTTCAGAGTCTCATGAACCAGAATGAGGTTAAATTACGTTGAGGTCGTACAGCTGCTATCCCCAAAATATCGAATGGGTTGTAGACCTTGTTTTCGTCCTGTGCATTTGCGACTTTGTACGCTAGGAATGCAACGAGAGACCACCCCAACAGGACAGAGAACATTCTTATGACGGGGCAGTCAGCAAATATGCGGAGGGAAAGTGCAATAAACGAAACGCACCTCTTGGTCAAAATCATCTTGAGCGGTGACCCCTTTGTTCGCGCCAAAATTTGTCTTCTCCGTTCTACACACAACTTACACTGACATCCCTTGGGATCCTTCGGATGCCCTGTACTTAATAGTCAGCTCGCCGGACTCATGGACATAACGGAGCGCACGCGCACCTGCAGCAAAGCGAGTGACTGTGGAGAGCGTCACGGGGACTAATATTATAGCGAGGACGGATATCAAAAAGTACGCAGCCATGTTCCCGGCCTCATCATAGTGGTAGTTGGCCATGGCTGCTCACGACAGCAAGCGAATGAAAGGAAAGACGAACAACAGCTGGTCAGTACAAAGCTAACGCAAACGTGGAAGCGCGCAGGGAATTACATAAACGCCGTGAGAAAGTCGACGCAACGCCTAGCCTGCCACTTTTGACCGACATGACAGTGCTGCAAAACGCTAACTACAGCACACCACACTTCAATCCAAGCTTCATAGTTGTACATGGGGCATGATATACTATAGACCTGGGGGGATGTGTACTTTTTTTTTAAAAAAAAAAACTGCACCTGTGGACAAGGGGAAATCAATATACTGCTTAAGAAGGGGTCCTTTTCAGAACTTACTAGGGCTGAAATTGAATCACGTCAGAAAATCACGCAAAGCTATCTGGGGACTCTTAAGACACTTCCCTGCTTCCTGAAAAACTTTTGAGGCCAGCAGAAGGACCCTTCGATTGTAATATGGCGGGAGACATTGACATTATCAGCCACGTCGACGACGAAAGGCAGTTTGGAGCATCAGCCCGTCGGAGCTACGATGTAAGGTGTGTGTAACAGTCCTCAGTTTCGCAGATGGGAATATTTGCTTGCAACTCTGTATCATTTTGTGTCCAAAAACCGGCATCTCTCTGGCATCTTCTACTCCACACATGTCATCTTCATCACTATCAGAAATTTCTATGTACGTGTTCTTCTACGTGCCCATGTATTTTTTATTGTAATTACTATTACTGATGTGATTGTGTAGTTCTGAAGTCGTGTTTTTGGATGTTGCAACACCGGTCAAGTGATAGTAATTGCGACAATTCCCTTCCTTGCATCTTGCTGACTTACATAACTGACTTACTGACTTATTCTTTGCTACACTGTAATGGTTTCTTGGGTGTAAACTTCATCTGGGGGCTCACCTACTGTAACTTCGACTGTAGTTGGCCATCTACGACAAACATGATAAATGTACTAGACTACTTCGATTCCCGTCATAGCTCAGCGTCGACGAGAGCACGAGATGGGAGGGCGGATAGTTAGGGTCACCTGTATTAATAAACTTAAAGAGCAATGGGCAGATATTGACGTGGAGCGTTGAAAGCAAAAGAGAATCTCTCAAGTTGCCTGCGGCCGTTAGTACTGTACCGTCTCATAAAAAGCCTACAATCTGTAGTTTACTTGCTGCCAGCAGTGTGCGCGGAGTTCTGAGACTTGAGCTTTCACGGGGGCACACAATCATCCACGAAAGCCATCCGAATTGAACCTGCATGCGCTGCCACTTGCACACTTCTCTCAGACTAGTTGGACGTGCCGAATATCAAGCTCGCATGCGACAGCCGCCTGAGCCTTCGTCGGGCTTCGTACGAATAATGCCCGTCCGCGGATAAGGTTCTCTGAGAAAAAATCAGGTGTCACTCGCCTGAAGCCGGATGTATTATCTCGGTGATAGACTTGCGCCGAGATTCCCATGAAAGTCATTGGCACTCTCGGATGGATTGGTCCGTTACGGGGGCCTGCATTGCACGAAGTCGAGGAGGGGGAACATATAACCCTCCAGAGCGAGGGGTGCTGCACAATTGATCGAGTTCTGGTTCCTTGTGTATTTGCTCCTGCGCAGACTCGTGCTCTTTATTCACAGTGGTGAAACTGACCTCCTTCGAACGTCAGGACGGTCGTAGCCATCGGAAGACGAGTATGCAGTTGTTAGCTATGGGTGCTACAATTCCGGACACCTTCAATTTGAACCTTGCATCAATATTGATTCATTCGGTATCGACCGCTTATGTAATAGTCTTCTCTTCAGTCTGCTGTTAGCCCCGACATGCGTATCAAAGTCACCACTGGTCCTCCTCTTCCCCTCCTCAAGGCGTGGTTTCCCGTGCCGTCTGCTCATCCAGAAACGCCCTCAGAATTTACTGTTGCAAACCTCAAAACTCGTCTATGCAACACGCTACCCCTCCTTAGTACCGTTGCCGCCTCCTCGCTCCGTCTTTCTATCGACGGATTCGAGCTCCTGGACGATTGCGACATCGGAGTCGTAAGGGACGGTGACCTGGTATGGTGAGTCATACTTTTCTCAAACAGTCGTGCGGCGCATGCTCCCCGACCTGCATGTGGCTAACCAGAGGCAAGCATTGAGCAGGTAAATACATCTGAAAAGGTCATAAAGCCGAAGGGAAATCAGTCGGAACGAAGTAGATCTTCTCGGAAACCTACACCTCCCCTGCGGGATATACACCCCACATCCAAAAAGCGGAAACGTTCCCTCGAATCCACGTCGACATCGGAGTCCGAGTCCACACCTGAGTCTGACACCTCTAGTTCATCTTCGTCCCCGTCGCCGTCCTCCTCCTCGTCTTCTACTACCACTGACTCGGAAGCAGCCAGCACAACATCGGACTCCTCCGAAGAATCCGAGTCAGAGACTTCAGAACCTGATTCTGGTCCATCCCTCGCCTTGACCAGGCGAACTGACTTGCAAGCGGCAAAACCCAAGCTACCTCCCTGTCGTCCATCCAACCCCCCACCAAACTCCGTGTATGTCCGTCTGTTCCTTTCTTTTTTTCTTACTCACAGTCTCAAGTCGAGGTCAACTTACTTATGTTCCACCTGGGTTCGGTAAACCACAGACCCGTGCTCGCAATAAGAGGAGACGATTGAAGAGGTTGCACGATCGTGAAGCAGTACCGCCAGCGTCTGGCCTACTTTCAGGACCAAACGCTATCGCAACGGATTTATTTGCACACACAGAGAATCATCATGATGGGAGCGGCCGTCCTCAGGAGTCGGAGAAATCCAGCAGCGAGAACACTCCTGACGTCGTTTTCCTGCCTTCGTTATCGCTTCGGAACAAGAACAAAGCCAAAAATTTCCGATCACTCTTAAGCAAACCTCTACCACCCAAAATCATTTTTGCAGGCGAGGAAGAAAATGGAATTTCAGTCCAGATAGAGTCATCTACAGCAAACGTGCATTCTTCGTCTGTGGATCCTTCTCAGTTAGCATCTATTTCGATGCAGACGAAGGTTGAACGACAACCACCCGCTACAATAAGCACGCCGCCGCTTGTACCGCCTTCTTCTCGTCCTTCGTTACCACCCAACCTCTTTGTTACTAGTGTGGACGTGGAAGCAGGAATTCTACGGCCCAAGAAGAAGAGAAAGATACGCGCCGCCGCAGAGTACGGTTCCGCAGTTGCAGAACGTGGCTATTATGCACCAGCCCCGGCAGGTAGGGACCTCGTGGAGGGCACTGGACATGGTGAAGTGAACGTCACGCTTGATTACGGGGACAACGAGGCCGACAGTCAGCAGGAGAGAATTCCACGGGAGCAGTCTCAGGAAGTGACGGGTCCCCTAGACGTAGGTCTGAACGGACTGGAACAGTCAGCCATATCGAACTGGACACAGTTTCCCAAAGTCACTCGAGAGATCCAGGTGGGTTTGAAGGTCGGGGACGTCATAGCATACAAGGTCAGCTTTACCCTGGTAGTCCTCACCTCATCCCGTCAAGTCATTGCCATGTACAGGACCTCGGTATTAACCCAACAACCTACACTCCTGAATACCTGATTACCATTGCGAGGGTCATGTCAATTGACCCAATCAAGGAAGGACAGATCGTTGTGAGGCCATTACAGCCCCGAACCGAACTGTCATTCGGCGCGAGGCTTGGTCAGGATGCCGAAGAAGTTCACGAAGAGGAATTTGCATGGGACGATATTCTCAATGGTGATTGGAGGTTCATTATGGAGTGTTGATCGTCATACCCAGTTCCCTTGAAGTATACATTCTGCTGAATTCCGGCCATTGATCGCCTATTGGCATGGGCATTCCACTTAAATGCTGTCTGTATTTTGGCTTGTGGAGAGGGTTGTCAGGAAACCTTTGACGCTACAACGTCGCTAATGCAGGGATACCATTCCCGGTCCCGAGAGGCCTGCCCGAGTTCCGCTACAATTCGTCATTGGTACCTTCCGATGAGTGCCCCGAGATAATCTTGAATCTTACATGGCTGATCCTCTCTGCGCTACTCATTCCACGACAAGCACCTTTGGGTCAGTCATCCACTCGACGGGTTCACACCCACTAATCCAGATGACACTCGCAGATATGATACCCCTTACGCATACTCGAATTCCTGGACCCATCCTGGTCCAGGTCTCAAAGTTGTTTTGTCCCCCGAGTTTTTGCCGGACCGAAAGAGCCGGGCCAACTAGATTGGGAACCATTGCTCTTATGGGGTGCAGCTGACTCATTGGGGTCCATTTCATGCCCCTACTTGAATCATGATGAGCGACTTGCAGCGATCTCAGGTCGAAATGGACATGGACAGTGGTGCATGCCATTTGGTGGTTGATGTCAGTGTTGATGGCAGTTCATGCTTGGTCACCTGCAACACCTCTCCATAGTGTTGAACTTTACACTACCTAATGCCATCTCTAACAGCAGCTTAGAAAGAGCAAATGGATGATCTGTGCTGCCCACTTCTCATAGTTGCAATATATGCAAGCACTCCTGTTAGACTATGTCTTTCTCTAGCCATATACATAGCCTCCTGTAACATGATGTGGGGTTATCTCTTGTGAAACTACTTCTCTACTTGTGTTTGTACTTGTAGCATCCAGGAGTGCCTGGGGGGCTTTTGGTATTATACATTATATACTTTGATAAACACCTGCAAGTACTCATAGGAGGGTACTATCTAAAGTCATAGTGGGTGTACTGCATGCCCATTTCATATAACTAGTTATGTGTAGGGTTTTGGCTTGATGTTGACAGTATGTTCTCAAGTGTTATTCATTCTGTGACAGATCCAACATACTTCTCATTTATCTTTGCTGCCTTTCCTTATCTCATTCATTTGCATTGACACTTCATAGCTAGCTGCTACAGCATAAAGGGGCCTGTAAAATGTAGTGTATGGGGACTTCTTTCCCTACAATAATTATTGACTGCAGAGTCTGGATTATGTGTAGCATGCTTTAAGAAAGTCTTGTTGTATTTGTGTTGCAAGTGTTAAAACTTCATGTTGACACCACATATTTTTATCCTTTTCATACTGGTCACCTTGAACCATATCCACCCTCTCTTTCTTCTCAACCACAACCATCTTTCCCAAGTTCTCTCACAGAATGCTCCTCGACTCTGCTCCATCTGGCACCCCAACTAGGACCCTGGAAATTTTTTTCAGGACTCATTGCACCAGCTAGGAGAAGTAAAAGTAGAGCCCATCACAGCCAAAGTGACAAAAAACAAACACCCTACCATTCCACAGAATCACAAACCACTATGGTAACCACACTCAGCACCCCTGGCACATCACAACCCCCACTGCATGACCTTGACAGGATGACCATCCCTGAGGTGAAATTCCCATGCCATGCCAGGACCCCTGCAAGCACCCTGTATGTCAGGCCCTGGCCTAGCTGGCAAATCCACCAGGAGTGGTGGCTTCTCACTAGACAAAATCATTAATGACCTGGAAGCCAAGATAAAAAACACAGACTTGACCAGAACATACCTGGACCAGCTTTACATGGTCCAAGGTGAGCCAGCAACACCTGAACATATCTCACATGCATTATTCTACATATTGCAAACCAAAGGAGTAAATAATGTGTTAAGATCAGCCATGAGAGCCACAGCATATTTGGTCAGGAAACTAGCAGCATCAGTGATAGCCAAAACCATCATCAGCAGTATCAAGCAATATAGAAAACTCAGTTGTTGCCACCATCTCCCCTCAGATTGCCAAAATCCTATCATCAACCCCAACAGCAACCACCCCACTCTCAGTGACTCCTTGTCAAGGGAATCCATCATAGAAGTGATCAAACTGGCCCTAGAGGCAGTAGAACAAATTGACAGCCCCAACCTACAGCTCAAATCAATCACACAATTATGCAACAATTGCATACTCCTAGAACTCAACACCTGGGAAGCTGTGGCATGGATCAAAGAACCCACTAACAAAGCATCTTTCCTTGTGAAACTAGGTGGCAAAATTATGATCAAAAACCATCATTACAATATACAAACTGTGACAAGACCTAACAACAGGGTTTGTTGTAGGCTTGCACCAAGAACCACAAAGAAAAGTGAAGAGAAGAAGAGAGGAGATGGCTTAGAAGCAGAGGACTTTAGGACTTGTGGACCCAAATGAACTAGCTTAGAGCTAGTTGGGAGATTGAGCAATGGTACTTATACTAAGGTACATGAGGTAATGGGGAGGCATACATGAGGATCATGACATCATAGTGATGTCATAATGATATCATAGTGGAGTGGAGCATACTAGAAGATGGGAATGAGGTAGCAATGAGGTGAGGTCTAGACCAGAGTCTGGACAGAGTCTGACAAGACAAGATGAGATAAAGAGATTAGATAAGATGAAAAGGAAAAGAGTATGTATCATAACACTATCCCCTCCTTAGACATCGACTTCCAGGTGATTAAAGGTCAGGACAGTGTTGGTGAAGTTTTTGAGGGGGTGGAAGAGCAATGCAAAAAGGGAAGAGTCCATTCCATGGAGTTTCTGAGGGGCAGAGGGGTGTCATCAGTAGAAGTCCTGTATGGCTGCAGGGGTGGACTTTAAGGCAGACTCAGGCCCCCAGGTGTGATCCTTGTCATGGTAGCCCTTCCAATGGACTAGGAACTCAAGCCAGTTTCATTTAAGGCAAGAGTTGGCAACATACTCAACCTCAAACTCTTCATCACCCTCATGGCCCACCACCAGTCCAGGGTGAGTCATGGTTTGTCTCTCTAACAGTCCCTTGTATGGCTTAACCTGAGAGACATTCACCACCAGATGGATTTTTAGAGTTTTAGGGAGTTTCAGCTCAACTGCATTTGGCTTGAGTGAAACAACCCTGTAGGGGCCAATCCATCATTCAGTGAGTTTACAGGAGGGATGACCAGACAGGGAAATCTGTGAAGTTTCAAGCCAAACCATGTCTCCCACAGAGTAGGTTGGGGCCTGTCATAGCCATGCCTTGACCCTGGCCAGACTCGACCTTGCACTTGTTCAGCCTGGCCAAACTCTACCCCCAGTTGGCCTAGCATGGTTAGCACTGCTTTGCAGTGTTGTTACTAAGTGTCATCTCAGTTGAGTGTTATGTTTCACCCCTGTTTTCCCTTCTACTCCTTGTGTTTACCTTGTGTTTTGATCTGATGGACTACTTTTCCTTTTCAAGCTGTCTTCTTGATGATCTGATGGCTCTCTGTTTCCACCACTAGCATTACCTGCTTGTTACATGCATAGGACATGTATTGCCATTGTTCAACCAATGGCATAGTTACCTCAAGACATGTGGACACCTCATGGTCCATTCCTTGTATAGTATTTAGTCTGCTGGCTCAAGTCCTGGAAACCCAGACTTGAGCTGCTCAATCATATGCAGTGTTCTCTCAGAACTTTGCCCTCAGTGTCCCTAACCTGGCCCACTCTTACTGGCATTGCCCAAATCCTCTGTTGTTTACAGAGGTTACTGCAGCTGTTGCTCAGTAGAAACCAATAGACTGCATTTGAGCTCTCCCTATGACTTGACTTTGGTTGAGCATAACAAAAGCTCAAGTCTGCCAGCCTTTGGCCAAATTGGTCACTGTTTAGTGCACCACCATGAACCCCTGAAACAATCAATGTTGGGCACCATTGCGACCCACTCATGAAGAATTGTCATCTGATGAAGAACAGGAGAGCACTGTCACTGACACCTCCTCCAATGAACCCAAACAACTGGATAGAGGATTCACTTCTGGTATCCTCTTGAACCTCTTTACTCAGTCCCTTGCCATGCTTGGTACTCCCATCCCACCAGTACCTGCCACCACTCTTCCTACACCCCTGCCTCTACCACAGACCACAATGTCTGGTTCATTGTCAAAAGCAATGGTTGGCACTATCACCACCAAAGCCACCAAACTGAAGATTGGTGCTCTGTCTGATTTGGATGGTGACCAAAAGAATGCCATGAGTTGGCTGTACTCCATACAGACCTATCTTTTGGTAAATGAAGAGATTTATGACAGTGACACCAAAAAGGTTGTCTATGCCTTGTCATATATGAAGAAAGGTGTTGCTCATTCCTGGGCAGCTACCTTCCAGAACACTTCTCTGGAAAAGAACCCCCCAAGTTTCAGCACCAAGCTGAGCCAAGATCATACCAAGATTGATCTCCAGCATGCCTACCATCTTGTCTGGATTGCCCTGGGTGATGAATGGAAGACTGCATTCTGGACTTGGTACAGTTCCTACAAGTGGTTAGTGATGTCCTTTGGCCTCACCAATGCCCCAGCTGCCTTCCAATGCTTCATGAATACCATCTTCACAGACATGTTGGATGTCTGTGTAATCATCTACTTAGATGACATCCTGATCTACTCTGGAGATAAGGAGTCCCACAATCAGACCATCTGTGATTGGCCCAAGCCTCACAAGGTCAAGGACATACAATCCTTCCTCAGCTTTGCAAACTTCTATCACCATTTTATTTTCAACTACTTGGACATTGTTGTACCACTGACTTGGCTTACCCACAAGGGGGCTCCTTGGACCTTCTCTGAGGAGTGCTGCCAGTCATTCAACAACCTCAAGGCCACCTTTACTACCACACCAGTCTTAACTCAATTCATCCCCAGGGTCCCCATTACCATGGAGACTGATGCATCAGACTATGCCATCACTGGCATTCTGTCTATCACCTGTGGCAATGGCCAGATACATCTGGTCACCTTCTACTCCCAAACTCTAACCACCCTGGAGTTGAACTATGATACCCATGATAAGGAATTGCTTGCCATCTTTGAAGCATTCTGGACCTGGCATCACTACCTTGAGGGTTTGGCCTCACCAGTCAATGTTGTCACTGACCATAAGAACCTTGAGTACTTCTCTACCTCCAAAGTACTCACCCACTGCCAGGCTTGCTGGTTGGAGTTCCTCTCTCAGTTCAATATGGTCATTAGATTCAGACCTGGTAAGCTCAGGGCTAAGCCCGATGCCCTAACTAGACAATGGGATGTCTATCCCAAAGAGGGGGATAACAGCTATGCCCAAGTGAACCTGCAGAACCTGAGACCAGTCTTCACCCAGGAGCAACTAGCAGTCTCCCTCTGTGCAACCTATCCCAAGTACCTGGTCTTATGAGCAGTTGTGCTAATGGATGTAGAGAAACTACACAATGATATCCTGACCACACTGCTGGATGACCCAGTCTCACAAATCTGCCTGTCTGACATGTCTGATCCCTGGTGGTCAGTGGATGACACCAGTTTCCTCTGGCTTGATGGAAGAATCTATGTGCTGGACTCAAACAACCTTTGCCTTAGAGTCTTGCACCTCAAGCATGACCACCCTCTGTCCAGCCACTTTGGCCAAAACTGCACCCCAGAGCTCATATGGCATGAGTACACCTGGCCTGGCCTCAGGACATTTGTCAAAGACTACATTCAGTCTTGCATGGCCTGCACTTGGGCTAAGGTTCCCCACCATCGGCCTTATGGCCTTCTCAAACAACTCCTGGTACTGGAGAAGCCATGGAATTCCATCTCTATGGATTTCATTGAACAACTCCCAGTCTCATCTGGCTTCATGGCCATCCTCATAGTAGTTGACCAGCTCTCCAAGCAGGCCATCTTCATCCCCACCCATGGCACCATCACAGCCCCAGAACTCACCAAACTCTTCTTACTCCATGTCTTTTCAAAGCATGGAGTACTGGCCCATGTAACCTCAGACTGAGGCTTGGAGTTCATCTCACACTTCTTCTGGTCACTCAGCAAGGCCCTAGACATGAAGTTACACTTCACCTTGGGCTACCACCCTGAGGGTGATGGCCAGATCAAAAGGACCAACCAGACACTGGAACAGTATCTCCGGGTCTATTGTAACTATCAACAGGACAACTGGGCCAACCTCTTACCTTTGGCTGAGTTTGCTTATAACAATGCCCCTAGCACCACTACTGGTGTCTCTCCTTTCTTTGCTAATAAGGGCTACCATCCCAACATCTTGGTATACCCAGAGTGTGACCTTACCTCTGCTTGGGCTCATGATTATGCAGTCAATCTGGACTCAGTGCACCAGTACCTATGTGAGGAGATGACCCTTGCACAACAGTGCTATCAAGGACCAGCCAATGCTAAATACATGCCAGCACCAGACTTTAAGGTTGGTGACCAGGTGTATGTCAAAGTTAAATACTTCTGGTCAACCCAGCCTTCCAAGAAACTCTCAGAGAAGAACCTTGGGCCATACCTGCTCATAGCTCAGGCCAGTACCCACTTGTTCACCCTGCACCTGCTGGACTCAATGCACACAGTACACCTGGTCTTCCATGTTTCCCAACTCGAGCTGGCCTTCCCTAATACCATCCCAAACCAGACTCAACCACCACCCCCACCAGTCAAAGTTGACAGTGAACTAGAGTTTGAGGTAGCAGAAATCCTCAACTCCAAGGTAGACCAGCATCACTGGTGCTGGCTTCAGTATCTAGTCTGGTGGACTGGCTACAAGGGGACTGATGAAGAAACTACATGGGTACTCACCATGGAACTAGACAATGCCTCTGAACTCATGCAAGAGTTCCACTCCCACTACCCCAGCAAACCTGGCCCATACCAATAAGGACTGGTCTCAACTGTCCTCAAC